AACCTCTTTCGTTTAAAACATCTGGAGTGCTGATTTCATCTGGAGTGCTGATTCTAGGTAGAGGAAGCAGATCAAAGATACACTCCCCCTGACCTGTGGCTTCAAGTGACTTGCTGAAAAAAGGGTTAGCTTCATGGAATCGAACATCTTTGGATACAATGATTTTTCTCAGTTGGGGATCATAGCACTTATATCCTTTTTGTGTTGATGAATAACCAAGAAAAATGCATTTGAGAGCTCTAGGGTCCAATTTATCTCGATGGTGTGACTGAACATGAACAAAACAGACACAACCAAAGGTTCTAAGATGTGAGAGGTCAATTTTTCTTCCTTTCATGACTTCAAGGGGAGATTTAAACCCCAAGACTCGGCTAGGAAGTCTATTGATGATGTACACAGCCGCCATGGCTCCTTGGGACCAAAATCTCTTTGGTACATTCATGTGTAACATTAATGCTCTTGTTTTTTCCAGTATGTCACGATTTTTCCTTTTGGCTACACCATTTTGTTGAGGTGTGCCAACACAGCTTGTTTGATGCATGATACCATGATTGCTCAAATATTGTGACATGAGATGGGACGTGTATTCGGTGCCATTGTCAGATCTTAAAGTTTGAATTTGAGAAGAAAAATGGTTCTTAACAAGGTTGTGAAAATCCTTAAATACTTCCATCACTTCACTCTTAGACTTTAAAAGGTACAACCAAGTGGCTCTAGAGAAATCATCAACAAAGATCACATAATACTTATAACCATCAAAAGATTCAAACGTTGGTCCCCATACATCTAAGTGAACTAGTTCGAAAACTTTACTAGTCCTAGATAAGGATGGGTTAAAAGGCAATCTAGTGTCCTTAGACAAATGACAGGTTTCACACGAAATTAAATCATTCCCTAAATTTGGAAACAAAGATGACAAAACAGGTTGAGAAGGATGAGCTAGACGTTGATGCCACAATTGACTATCTTGGGATGGATTTGACTTGGCTTGAAATCCCCTGGGACTGCTCTTTGATATGTAATAGAGACCATCTAGATAAAACCCTTCACCAATCATCTTCTTGGTGAGACAATCCTGAAAAATGACATTGTGAGGAGAGAAGATGGCTAAACAATTCAAGGTATTGGTGATTTTTCCCACAGATAGAAGTTGAAATGGAAAAGAAGGAACATATAAGGCTACTGACTCAATTTTGTCCGACATTAAGTGGATATTTCCCTTGCCTAAAACCTTGGAACTCTCACCATTGGCAGTTGAGACTTGAGAAGGTTGCGAAAATTTTTCAAACTTTTGAAACTTAGAAACATGATTGGTTATATGATCTGTGGCACCCGAATCAACAATCCAAAAATCATGCAACATATTTACATTAAGAGCAATTTTGAAAGCAGTCATGATACCTTGCATGTCATCTCGGGACATGTGTTGTGTGTCTATCAGAAAACCAGCGAACTTGCCTAGCAAAGCTGTTGAGTTTCCATCTTCAAAAACGACCGTTTGATCACTCTTAACCTCTTCTTTCTTGCTTTGAAGATATGCTGCAAACTCATTTATGAGTGCAGCCGGATTCGCTGTGAAGCTCTTGAGTGCGTCAGACCCATGTGAGGTTGAGGTAGATGCATTGTTGGCTCTGTGTGGTGCACGGTTCAGTCTTTATGAGCCCTTGTTATCCTTCATGAACTCTGGCTTTAATTCTGGATGTAAAATCCAGCATGTCTCCTTAACATGGCCAGTATAGTTGCAATGTTGGCACTTCAAGTGTGGATTCTTCACTTTGTATTTTCTTTCGTTGGTTAGGTAAGACCTTGCTTCAGTTACATTGGTCTTTGTGCCAATGTTCATGACTTTCCTTCGTACTTCTTCACATTGGATTGTTGCACATACACTGGTGAAGGAAGGTAGTTCGGGGTTCATGAGTATGTGGCTTCGTAGGTCTTCATATCCTGAATCGAGGCTTGACAAGAGTTGGAATATCTTGTCTTCTTCTGCCCTTTTCAGTAGCACGGACGCTTCAGTTGTATGAGGCCGATACATTTCCAACTCATTCCACATGCTCTTCATGCTGCCAAGAAGTTGAACAAATGGCTTTCCTTCTTGTTGCAGGTTGGAAATGTCCTTCTTTAGTTGAAACACACGTGCAGCATTGTTTTGACTGCCATACATCTCCTTGACTGTCTCCCATAGCTCGAATGATGATTCAGAATAACTGAATATTTCAGCTAGTTTACGCTCCATGGAATTTAGGAGCCATGACATAACTAGCTGATCCTTGCAAAGCCAGTTTTCATATGTTGGTGAGGAAGCATCAGGAACTTCGATGCTTCCATTTATGAACCCTAGCTTGGACCTTCCACCTAGAGCAAGGCTCACTGCTCTCGACCAAGGTAAGTAATTAAACTCATTTAACAAGACTGAGCTTAACCTTTGATTTGGATTGACATCCACCTCAGACATATTTCCGGAAGAAAGAACCGGTGAACTTTCAGCATCTGACCTAAGAGGATTGTCTTCAGCCATCTTGAGGATTGATCACGTTCGGATGAAGCAGAAGCAGGTTATTTTTCCTGCTCTGATACCATGTTGATTTTCAAGGAATGAATTGTATCTCATTCATTCATTCGTCTCTAGTTACAAGAACAACAAAACATATATAGAGGAACCTATAGAAAACTAAGAGGAAAGCTACGGAAACAATGGAGAGTTAACCCCTCCATGACATCTCCACCTAACTTAAACCACTAATTAATTCTTACAATGATGATGAGGTCTCCACTCTACCTAACTAAACATCATCAAGGCTTGCATTATGCCTAAAGTAGATATTAAACTAAGATGCACTAAAGCATCACTTAAGTTTTAGCCGAAAGTTTGAATAATGCATTAGCTAGCTTTCCATTATTCTATTCTTCCATGATACTCCATGATGCTTCCAACTCTTAGGAACCCTACTTCCAACCCTACTTCAAATAAACAACCATCCAATAATTTTTAATAATATGAATGCTTGTACAGATTAAACTGTTATCATCTTTAAATACAGCAGAAATTGTCTAGTTTAATTTTTTTTTTCAGCAGCCCCTTTGTTTACCAATTCAAATCAAAATACTTTTACTTGAAAATGAGCACTAGTCTTGCTCCAATGTCATTGGTCATTTTCAAAAGTTTCTAGTGCAAGTTTTCTTTTGCTGAAATGTCATTGGTCATTTTCAAATGTTTCTACTGCCTTTATGCATAATTAACATTAAGTACAAGAGGGGTACTATTCAAACACTTTTTTTACTTTTCACACAAGATTTTTATTTTCGGCAGTCGGATTGAACGAATATGAAAAGATCAATGGAAAAAATTAATTAGGATGTGTGAAAGATAAAAACAAAGTATACAAATAACACCACCACTATTTTATGTCATATTTTTATTTTTTTCGAAAACTCGACGGTAGGAAGTAAACTTTATTATTTGGAAAATTCAGCCACTCCGGCATAAAACCTAACCTTAACCACACTAAACAAACAATATTTTGTACCACGAAATGGTTTTTAGCCTGTTTTTAGTAATTCTTATCAATTTAACCAAAAGTTCATGCAAAAGTTCTAAAATACCGTTGCATACATATGTTTTTTACGAATAGGTATTGCCATTTGTCAATCAACTCAATTGCCTTTCTTGACTCGATTCGATTCAACCTTTTCCTACTCCGCCGAAGAGCTTCGTCGAGTCTATGCCGTTCAAAGAGCTGGAACTGGAGGTCATTCAAATCAGTTCAAAGCAGTGATTTGCGTGAAGAATCATTTCAAGAGGAGCCACTGCCAAAAAATGTACTTGTCCAACCGGTGCAACAAGACTAGCTTCTCGGTGGTGGCGGATTTGAAGAGCCACTTGAAGCAATGCAGCAAGGTGGTGGGAGTAAGGTTGTGACAGCTACGGAGCAGGAGGAGCAAGAGAAGCAAGAGGGCATGGGCATGATTGTGAATGGGGGTATATTAATACTTTTATATCAATTTTTTGTTATAATTATCATAAATTTATAATGGTGGTTATAATTCTATATGAGACTTAAGTTTTAGTTATTTTTTTTAAATTTTGCGAGAGAAAAAAGAAGGCAGGTTTCGTATTCCTAGACGTACTTGGCCTTCCTAATTATATTTTGAATAAGCTGGTTTGGGTTCAAGTTGGAACTTTTATTTTGTATGGTATAAATTTGGAAGAAAATAATCAAAGTAAAACAAAACCGTCAAGTTTCCAACAAGAAACATTGCACACTCTTTTCACCTACCAACAACTCATTGCTAAATTTGACTTACTTTTATTAATTTGTATTAGATATATATATATAAGAATTAGGGCCACCGAGATGGGGGCCTCAGGCGAACGCCTACCCTTAGAACCAGCCCTGAGTATAATAATAGGGTTTAAATATTGAACGACTGCCATATTGCATGCATGCATTTAACACGTTCATAACTTTGACCGTGAGATGCATCTAACTACCAAGAAATTGACGACAGAATTTTAATGTTGAAATCGGCTCGCCCCATAAGCAGGTGGAATGAGTTGCATCCACATCGACAATCCTTGTCTGTGTCGTACACGTTCAACCCCGAAACGACTCCGTAGATGAAAATAACACACGAGTCTAATTTTTCATTAACATAAACTAAAAGTGTGACAAATCAATCATCCATCCATATTATTAACTTACAAAATAATAACACCACATAACAGTGTCCCTTGTATCCAAAAGAAAAACCATCACATACAAATTATGTTCAGATTTCAAAAAAGAAGCATATATTTTTTTTGTAAAAACGATACGGCGGGTGAGAATTGGGTGAAGCAAGACAAATGGTTATGCTGCACAAATTTAATATCGAGCTCACCATTCATGGGAATACCACGAAACCATAATCCTAGTAGCGGAAAACAGCATTTTAAACCGAAGTGAGATACAAAATAGATTCTGCACAGCACAAGCAACACAACGCAACCGACAAAAGAATTTCTGTAAGTGAACAGCAATTTCACGCCATAACTGAACAAGGATAATATTCATCGACGACAATTTTCTGGCATGGCCAACTGATGCTAAGTAACTTCAGATCTCTAAAATAGCACCATTCAAAACGTTTGGTTCTATGTCTTTTCCTTCTAGGTATAACTCGTGGAATCTATGATTAAACAGACCACAAAAGAGAGAAAAATACCCTAAACTTTCGGTGACTTATAGCTGATGTGCCACTCTCTCTCCTCCAACTAAATGCACTGCAAACATCTAACCTTCAAAGTCAATTCGAAATTTCTTCAGGGAGATGCGGGGAATACTTCTCCATGAGCTGGGTTAATTTGGCATCAAAATCCTTCTCCAGTTCCACTTCTTCCTCCCAATGCCTCCGCTTCATTGCAGCTTTATCGTCATCATGAGCTTTCATCAGCATGTCCCGCTCTGCCACAAATTCTTCCATCTCTTTTTCTTGAGACTTGATGAAGTTCTCAATTTCCTCCGACCTACGGCCATAAGGAGTATGGAAGAAATATACATCAAACAAAAGCAGAAGCACCACATGGGTAAAAGTATTGAACCTCAACAGGGGGCCTAACTTTCTCTGGTCTACGCATATTCTTTATCACAAATTACCTGTATTTTTGTTCCTCGGCATTTGAAGGGTTGAGATATGAGTGCTTCACCTTGTCACGTTCCTCCTGCTGCAGCCTCTCAAAATTTTCTTCCTTTGCATCCCTTGATTCATGAATTATCTTGATCTGGTCTTTGAAAAATTGTTCTTGCAGATACATCTTTTCACACCAATAAGAGAAACAACCAAATAAATGAACAAGCCAATAAAACGAAACAAAAGAGCAAGTAAATAGACCAAATATTCGGAAGCCATAAGGAAAAACAAATACAAAAACAAAATACAAACGATGGTAAACCATGCAACATAGTGAAAATACCAACTTTAGATCAAGCCAAACCTTGATGCAAGTGTAAACAAGTTTCTACTATAATATTGGGGCATAATTATCTGACAGTGAAACTTACCTCTTCCTGGTTCTCTTTGTGCTGCAATTTGGTCCTCTGTCTTACGATGCGATTTTCCTCCGTCGTCTTCCTGAGCTTTTCACTCACTATACCAAGAGATTCCTCAAGAGCCTTTGCATGCCTCTGTTCCTTAGCAACCCTGTTCTTAAACCACATAAGCTGTTGGTTATCCTCACTCATTTGCCTGATTTGGTTCACGACCATCTCCTGGTACGATCTCATCTCAAATTTCAGCCTAGATTTACCTAATTAGTAATGGGAGCATGTAAGACATCCATATATAACATTTCCAGGGATCTTAATTGCAAAAAACAATTCAATGAATCAAAGTTAGCATGTGAACTTAAAATATTTGAGTGAAAACTCGCCACTTTGTACCCAAAATGACCATCACAAACAAACAGAGGGCAAGGGGAAGAGCGAGGGACACACCTTGAGAATGCTGGTTAAAAATGTCCAAGTCTTCTTTCACTGCCATGTACCCATAGAGCTGTCGCTTCCCACCAGACTGAAATAAGACACGACGACGGTCCCATGCATCTCGGTCAGTTCCTTGCTCTATAAAATGCTTGTGAAGACGCTCCGCCTCTAAATAACCCCTTGCAGAGGCCTCAAAGATCAAAATGCTCATCCCACGGTGTCCTTGTGGACCATATGAGTGTCGAGCTCTCGCAGCAGCATAAGGGCTGAAATAGTCAAGAAGCTCCTGATTTCCCATGCCAACCCACTGAAATTCAAAGCAACATAAAATGAGGACTGGAATGATACCAAGGCAGGGAAACCTTGGCTTTAGAAACAATCATGACAATGTAAACAGACCTATACTTGAGATACAAATTTGAAAAACATAATCAATACCTTGTCATTGTCATCCTGCTCAAGTTTAGTGTTCATGATGACAATCATAGGAGGCCAGACAATTTCATGATCCTTTTCCTCATCTTTTAAACCTTTCCATTTACCAAAAGCTTCACCAGCTGGTATAACTGTAGTTCCCTTCCTCCTCAACTCTTCATCCAAAAGCTCTGCAAGCTCTCTATGGAGCATTACCCTTTTTGATCCTTTTGTTTTGGCATGTGTCATCAGGGGCTGCAGGCCTCGGTACCAGTCAATGGAACCAGGACCCCCTTGACATGCAGGACAGTGCCACTGCCTAGCAGGATCATTAATCTCATCAACAGTTAAACTATCCAAAATCTCAAAGAATTTCTTGAACCATCTGCTATTTTTTCGAGTTTCATGGCTCTTTTCACTTGAATCCGAGTCAAACTCATCACTGAATAGCTCATCGTCGGTATCACACACAGCATCAGAGTTGTCATCATCATCATCAATGGCAGCGGCAGCAGCAGCCGCATCGCTGTCCTTGTCATCTTTTCTGTGGACATCTTCTGAACCCTTGGGTTGAGTAACACCAGCTCTAGATTGCCAGTTCCATCCGTGGTCCAGTGGAGGGGGAATCACATGTTGTGGGGCCACATAGCTGTTTTCAGAAACCCTGGCAGAAGACTGCTGCCTTACATTTCCTCTAGCTGCTGGTTTTCTCATATCAGAAGTTTGTGAAGGCCAGAAGTTGCCGGCACCCCTTCCTGACCCACCACTACTCCGCATACCTGGCTTCTGAGTATCAACCTGTGCCCGAGCCTTAGAATTAGAATTCTGAGGACCCCATTGTTTTGCAGCACTGCTTCCAGCTCTGTTCTTTGACTTCCTGGTAATTACCTCCCACTCTCCATCATCCTGGGCCGAGCCCAGGCTAACGTCTGCAACACCATGAGTCAACTGTTCAATCTTGGGGCTGCTGACTTCCAAGACATCTTTTCCCTTGAAATTTCCACCATTTCTTCTCGCACTCATCCTAGCAAACAATCCCTTTTTGGGAACATTGTTTTAAACAAAAAAAACGCGATGAAAATATTAAGCATGCGATGAAACATTGTTTTAAACATTAAGTACTGTAACATTAGGAAATATATGCTCCTAATTCCTAACCCTAACATTCGATTTAACACTAAAACCCCCAATTTCTAATTTAATTTTCCATATTGAATCTAATTACAATACCAAAATCTTCAGATTAAGGCATCAAAGCCTGATTCTGACCTTAGAAAGAAGAAAAATAAAGAATTAAGAAAAGATAGATACCTGGGTCAATCTGCAGCGTTTGTCTGTCGCACAAGCGGAAGTGGCTCCGTGCAGCTGCCTGCTGGCTGGATGCAGTCGGCGGTGTCTTTCTGGCTGTTGAGCGCTGCGCCGGGAGCTGACAGGGTGAGAGAAGTGAGAAGTGAGAAGCGGTGAAAACTAAAAACGTATAAGAAGAAAGGTTGACGTGAAGTCGCTGTGAACAGAAGGAGGCGTGCGCGAAAGAGACTACGCCAAGACTCTCTCTTTATTTTTATGGGATGGGCCTCTATTAATAAACCTACATTTTAATATTTTTTCAGCCCAAAACATATTTTTGGAGCTAGGATGGGCTGACGATTGGGTTTGAGTTAAAAAGGTTTTTTATTTTCCAAATGACTTTAAGAATGTGTATTCAAATGAAATTTTAAGACATTTTAATTATTTTAATAAATTTAGAATATACAATTAGGATTTTAAGTGATCTTTGAAATTCAAAAAGTTTTCAATCAGCCGCTTTTTTATTTTTCTTCAAAGAGGATCATATTATAAAACTCGAGTGAAAACACCACCAAGCAAGCTCAGAACAATAGAATGACGGACAAGCTCAAAGAATGGCCTCTGAAAAAACCTAACCTGGAAGAAACCATGTGGAAAAATTTCAGGGGAGGAAAAAGAGGCCGAGCAAGCCAACAAAACCTTTTTCGAGCTGATCCTTAACTGATCGAGGATCCATTTTTGTTGTGCAGAATGGCTGTTCATCCATATTCTGTAAATATATTTGATAATAACAGTAGTTCTGGTTTTTGTTCGACTCATCCGTGCCATTGGCATATATAAATACAGTAAGCACATAAAGCCACATCAAAAATTTAAAAGTTCATATGACAATTGCAAAAATAACATCTGCAGCAGATTCTGAATAAAATAACCTTCAATTTCACGGAAAAAATGGACAAAACTAACAGTCGGGGGGACATCTGCACCAGTTGAAAGTACAGAGGTGTTTGAACCAAATTAAAAGTTTGTATGACAATTGCAAGCTAGCAATCTTTGTGTATGTGTATGTGTGTACGACCTCGAAGAATAAAACACGATATATCAATAAAAAAAGGGGTGAATCAAGGTTCGAGAAAATTCTAGTTATCAGATGGGCTGAGAGAGGAGATTGTTTTGAAGGGTAAAGTATATGTCCGCTTGACTACGTGCCATTTCTCTTGTTTCATATTAATAAGATTTTCTCATATTGCTAAGGTGGGTTGCCTTGATGGATAGAGCGTTCCTCTTTAACCTATTATGTCCTAAGTTCAAATCTTCCCCTCCCTCGTAATTTAGATAAATTTAATGTAGATTTTCCTATCCTTTGTTACAACAACAACAATAAAGTCTTATTTCACTAAGTGTAACATGTTGTATGAATTTTAAAACGCTTGCTACTGCACTAAGTTTTGCCCCACGTTTTGTTAGTTCCAAGTACTTCATGTCTTTTCTTAGAATCTCTCTCCCATTCTTCGTAGGTTTTTCTTTACCCATTTTGCCATGAGTCTCTATTTCCTAATTATATTTTCTAACCAAAGCAATTGTAGGTTTTCATTTCATATGTCCAAACCACTTTAAAACAAAAACATGAATAGGAGAGGAGACCGCAATTTAGGGATAGCAACGATTCGGTTTGATGACGAAAACGCTATATTTATCTCCATAACCATAAAAATCAATCATATCCATAACCGCAAATTAACCATAACAGATTATCCATAACCATACCCACCGGATAACAGATTCTTTTTCGGCTAATGGTTATATCCATTTTCGTCAAACAAAAATATATTCGTTCAGTTGACGCATTATAAGTTAGGATATGTTAATTTCGTTGTTATACATTTGATGTGTAAAATGATTCAATGAACTGATTTTGTAGAGTATAAAAATTAAAGTATTGAATTTAAAACATTGATGATGTTGGCTGATTTGTAATATCTTCAGCACCATTGAATTTTCATTGATTTTAATTCAAAACTTTTGAATTTTCCCATAAAATGCAACTTTTGTATTCTCAAGGTAATGAATTCGATAAATAATGAATGTACACACATATGAATAATGGACACACACACACATATATATACAAACATACATATATATATATATATTATATAATACTATTATATTATATATTATTCAAGTCGGATACGAATCAGGGATCATTATAACCATATCCAAAACCATAACCAAATAATATTTACGGTTTTTCTCCATATTGAAAATATATCCAAGTTTTCATATCCAAATCCGTTCCATTCAAACAGTTATCGAGTTTAATAATTAAAATTATCATCCCTACCACAATATCTTGAAGATGACAAGTTTTGATATTTATTGCTTTGTTTTGTTTGTGTGGTTGACGGCAGTGCCGGATGCATACATGGGCCAGAGCAAGCTGTCGCGCCTACTCCATCACCCTCTTCTTCTCCCATTTAATTGCTCAGTTGAATTGATCTTTTCTTTCAACTTGGAGAAAGTCTGCAACTGGTTCGATTCAACGCAACAAAGAGGAGGTTGATGCAAGGACAACTATTAGTTTGAAGGCATCAACATTGCCGCTTTTAATTAGCAACTCAAACATTAATTTGAAAGCTTAATCCTTATTTGAGAGCTTCTTTCATCTTAAACAAAAATAATGATGCTAATGAAAAAGACTACAGTTGTTCCCTTTAATTAAGTTTACTTAACTAATACTAACTAATACTCCAAAACTTCTTTTAGTTACAAGAAGTTTAGGGTTTAATTGGATTCAACTTTGCACGCGAGTTTCAATGTTTGAACCTACCCCCTCCAGTATTGTTTGTACAAAAAAATATATTTAAGAGCTTCTACATCATATCCTATGAAGAATATTTCTGGATCGGCCATTGGTTGACGAGTGGCAGAGTCAGCATGGGATCATTGGTTATTCTTGACCCCAATAACTTTAAAAACTCTATGTATATTTGCTTGTATATTGTATTTGACCGCAACAAACAACTAAGGCAAACTAAATTACGACGTCCTCATCCTACTTCTATTTTCTTCTATCATATTTGTCTTTCTTTTCTCTCTTCTTGTATGAAATGTTTTAGTTGAAAAGCCTTGAAAGTCTTCAACATTACTCCACAGTATCCTTCACCATCGACAAGTCTGTACAAGTAATAGTAGTCGTCGACATATATTGAAATAAAATTTCAGCATATGTTGGCAAGAATTCGCAAGTGCCTACCAGGTGCTCGACGAAATGACCCAATGAAGCTTTTTGGTTGATATTATGACCCTATTATTTGAAAATTCTAACTACGCCACTGTTGATGGGGCCAAAGTTAACGAAAAGTCCGGGCAAATGCATTTTGGATAGAAAATTTGTACAATATGGAAGATGAATAAACTCATTGAAGTGCTTGAAACATGGAAATGGTTAGCAATTAGCATTCAGAATTCAGAATTGAAAGTTGGATTTTCTGCTAATCTTATTGTTCTATTTTTTTATTTATTTCAAAAATAGTCAGCTTGGACAATAGACTCGAGCTAGTCCGCTCTCTACTTCTTCTAGTTTATCTAGTTCCAGTGCATATACAATACAATTAAATACAAAAAACTAAAAAATATTTGTATATACGTAGAACAGGATTATTAATTAAAAATTATTTTATGTACTAAAGTGTGCTGATAAAGAAGAATTTGATGCAGAAGATTGGGTGAACTGTGAGGAGTTGGTGTTGTAACGATAGCCTGAAGAATCAGTTTCACCCCTTTCCAAATCTGTAGTATCAGCATACAAAATTGACAATGTTACCGGAGGTGAAGAGTAGCTAGCCACCGGCATCTTCGACGGGAGAATAGGTAATGGAACTTCAAATTTAAGCACTTGAATCGTTTGTTGTATCGAAGGCCTGATCGTGTAATCCGGATGAACACACCACAACCCAACAACCAACAAACACTCCATTTGTTTCTCATCAAACTCTCCACACAATTTAGGGTCAGCTGCTTCAATGACTTTCCCTTGTCCATAAAGCTCCCAAACCCACTCCGCCATATTCGTTTCACTACTTTCCGAATTGGGATCAATGGGTTTTCGCCCACAAGCCATCTCCAAAGCAACAACTCCAAAGCTGTAGACATCTGTTTCCTTGCTAGCCTTTCCTGTGGTAAGACATTCAGGAGCCATGTAGCCCATAGTTCCGGCCAGAACTGTTGTTTGTGATTGTTTTCCATGGTCAACAAGCCGAGCTAACCCGAAATCCCCAAGTTTTGCGTTTAAATTTGAGTCCAACATGATATTGCTGGATTTGATATCCCTGTGCAGCACACATTGTTCCCATTCTTCGTGTAGGTACAACAACCCGGATGCCAAGCCTTGAACAATTTTGTTTCTTGCCTCCCAAGCTAACAAGGATTTCCCTTTGAACAAATGGGAATCCAAGCTGCCGTTGAACATGAACTCATACACAAGTAAGAGTCCTCTTTTTTCATGGCACCAACCAATGAGTTGCACCAGATTCCGATCCCTTAGCCGGCTGATGATCCTTACTTCTGCTGCATACTCCTTCATCCCCTGTCTAGACCTGCTTGATATCCTCTTAACAGCAACGTACGCGTTCAAGTCTTTTATGAAGCCTCGATAAACTCCACCAAACCCTCCCTCTCCAAGCTTCTCTCTTTCATCAAAATTACTTGTTGATCTAGCCAATGTTCCGTACGAAAACTTCTTGGGGCCTGTTCCCTTTTGGAACTCCTCATCGATCCAGTCATTAACCATTCCATCTTTTGAACTAGCTTCCCTCTTCTTCCAAATCAAAAACCAAACCAAACCTAACCCACCAACCAACAAAGCAATCCCACCAGCACCCAAACCAACAATTAGTCCTACGTTGACCCCATTTCCTGACTTGGGATCAACAATGGGGCTCGGCTCAGGAACCACTGGCGTGTGCTTCGTTTCATTCTCTTCACGCAGTTGAAACGAATTAAAACTCCATGATTGGATCTTGTCCACAGCAGTCAGAGAACCTGTTGCGGCGGAGAACCCAACAACGACCCAACCCTGGAGGATTTCATTCAAATCAACCCTGCAATCCATATACTTCATCACTTGAACATCTTTCACATAACTTGTGAAAACAATACCAACATGCTTTGATGCAGAATCATAACTAATCCCAACACTATTGACTCGTCCGTTTGTAATACTACCATTCCATGATTCGG